CTCCTCCCCTCCCTTCCCCTCCCCTCTCCTCTCCTCTCCTCTCCTCTCTTCTCCTCTCCTTCCCTCTCCTCTCCTCCATCTTCTCTTCTCTTTCAATCACAGGGAACTGTCAAGAGGAGACAAGAAGAAGACCACTTCCAGTTTCCAGACATGGCTGATGGGGGCTACCCTAATAAAATTAAGAGGCCTTGCCTTGAAGATGTCACCCTTGCTATGGGCCCAGGAACCCATCCTGGTACTGCCTGTGCAGAGCTGCAGGTCCCTCCATTGACAATGAATCCTAGCCCTGCGGCTATGGGAGTGGGGGGCCAGTCGTTACTGCTGGAGAACAACCCTATGAACGGCAGCATCATGGGCTCACCATTTGTGGTACCACCGACTACAGAGGTGGGACTGAAAGGGCCAGCTGTTCCTTACTATGAGAAAACCAGCAACGTGCCGGCTGTAGACCAGGAACTCCAGGAGCTGCTAGATGAGCTCACCAAAATTCAAGACCCTTCTGTGAATGAGCTAGATCTTGAGAAGATACTGGGGACCAAGCCAGAAGAGCCACTGGTTTTAGATCATCCCCAGGCAACCCTAAGCACAACTTCCAAGCCTTCGGTTCAGATGTCGCACTTGGAGAGCCTGGCTTCCAGCAAGGACTTTGCTTCTAGCTGCAGCCAAGTTACTGGCGTGTCACTTCAGATCCCACCCTCCTGCACGGGGATCAGCTATTCCATTCCTTCCACCAGTAAACAGATGATGTCACCGAGTTCTTCAATGGCACAGTCCAAGAGCCAGGTCCAGGCCATGCTCCCTGTCACTCTGCCACCCTTACCAGTGCCTCAGTGGCATCACGCCCACCAGCTGAAGGCATTGGCAGCCAGCAAGCAGGGGTCTGCTACAAAGCAGCAGGGGCCCACGCCCAGTTGGTCTGGTCTGCCTCCTCCAGGACTGTCTCCACCTTACCGCCCGGTGCCATCACCACACCCACCACCACTGCCGCTGCCAGCACCCCCACCCCCATTCAGCCCCCAGAGCCTCATGGTGTCCTGCATGTCGTCCAACACCTTGTCGGGCAGCACTCTTCAAGGCTCTCCCAATGCCTTACTGTCAAGCATGACGTCCAGCAGCAATGCTGCCTTGGGGCCCCCCATGCCCTATGCTCCTGAGAAGCTCCCCAGCCCTGCTCTCACTCAACAGCCACAGTTTGGCCCACAGAGCTCCCTTCTTGCCAACCTGGTGTCCTCTACCATCAAAACCCCCCAAGGACACCTGATGTCCGCTCTGCCCACCAGCAACCCTGGGCCGTCCCCACCCTATCGCCCAGAGAAGCTCTCCAGCCCAGGCTTGCCGCAGCAGTCCTTCACCCCACAGTGCTCCCTGATCCGAAGCCTCACCCCCACCAGTAATCTTCTAAGCCAGCAACAGCAGCAGCAGCAACAGCAGCAAGCAAATGCAATCTTTAAGCCCATGACCAGCAGCTCATCCAAAACCCTGAGCATGATCATGCAGCAAGGGATGGCAAGCTCCAACCCAGGAGCCACAGAGCCATTTACTTTTGGCAACACTAAGCCCTTGTCCCATTTTATTTCTGAGCCGGCTTCCCAGAAGATGCCCTCCATGCCTGCCACCTCTAGGCAGCCTTCCCTGCTCCACTACCTGCAGCAGCCGACACCAACACAGGCATCTTCAGCCACTGCCTCCTCTACGGCCACCACCACCTTGCAGCAGCAACAGCAGCCTGACCACTCTTCATTCCTTCTGCAGCAGATGATGCAGCAACCCCAGCGTTTTCAGCGATCAGTGGCCTCAGATCCCATGCCTGTTCTGCCTAGACAGGTAAGACAATCTCCTATCTGGCTGTGTTCTTTTGTTTTGGAAATAACAACTGTGTTTCATGCTGCCAATATCTGGCTCTGGAGGGCAAATCCAGGCTATAGTTCTCTCTGAGACCGGAAATGACTCTGAAAAAGTCTACTGAAGTCAGCTAATCCTGTGTGGTTAAAAGCACAGTGTTAATGAGGCCAAGGTTACGGTTTCAGTGCCTGTTCAGGTCACCCAACTTCCCTGGAAGGAAAGCTGCACCCACAAGGTGCTCCCGGTGGAGGGAGCTAGGGAGGACAAGTCTGAATACAGAAATGACTTCCCTGCACTGGGCTGCATAGCGAGACTAGTGGAGCCTTCTTAAGATGTGTAAGGAAATTGCACTGAAGCATTTAAATCTTGTCCCTGCTGGCAGAAGGATAAACACTGAGCCTTCTGAAAATGCTACAGCAAACTTTTGCTGAGCAACCTCAGCGTGCCGTTCGTCACTGTACTGGATACTCAGGCAGGCCGTGAAAGGAACTTGTTAGGTAGTGACTCTAATCGTCTCCATTTTACAAATGAAGAAACTGAAGCTCAGAGAGTTGAAAGACTTGCATAGAGCCACATAGTTCGCAAGGGACAGCGCAGGAACTTGAAGCCAGGTGTTCTCACTCCAGAGCCTGTGCTCTTGAAATTACTTTTGACTTCTTGTCCTCCCTCATCTCCTCCAGGCCTTTCAATCACGAAATGCGGCTGATTCCACCTGAGTGTGTCTAGTGCAGTTCCGAGTTTCCATTGCTGCGACCCCTGCCTGTATTATAGTTATATGTGGCTGCATAACAAATTACCCCATGCACCAACTTCAAACTATATGCATACGTTACCCCACATCCTGATTTCTGGGTGTCAGGAATCCTGGCATGGTTTAACTGAGTCTTCTGGCCGAGTATCTCCTAAGGCTGCAGTCATCTCATTTGGGAAGGAGCTGCTTCCAAGCCCACTCATGTGGTTGCTGGCAGGAAGCGGTTCCTTGCAGGTTGTTGGACTGAGGCCTCGGTTTCTCATGAGCTATTGGCCAGAGGCCTCCCTCGGTTCCTTGCCACATGGCCTCTTCACAGAGCATCTCAAAACATGACAACTGGCTTCATCTGAGTGAGCATGAGAGAGTGTGCCAGTGAAGCTGGGTAATGTGGGGAGAGGCAGGAGGGATAGTGCCAGTAAGTCAGAAGTCACAGTCTCCATGACCTAGTCTGGGAAGTAACATCCCACTACTTTTGCTGTATTCTGTTCATTAGATGTAAGCCAGAGGAGACTTCATGAGGGTGTAAATACAAGGAGGCTCCATGGGGCCAGGTCACACGTCTGGCTACACAGAACACTCAGTCACCATCTACCATCCCTGCTTCCCATTCCTCCCATCCTTGCCCAAGTCCAGGTCCTCTTGATTCTTTGTCTGAATGCATACAGTTGACCCTTAACTGGTCTCTCCCAATAAACCATCCATTGCTCTATGAGCCATCTTGCTAAAACAGTGGCCTGATCATGTTTTACACTTGCTCAGAAGTCCCCAGAGGCCTGTAAGCTGGCCCCCCCCCCAGCCTCCTGGGCCCTTCAGCATCCGTCAGGCCCTGCCTTGCACTTCTATAACCCAGAAGCGCCTGCAGCACTTGGCCCACACTATGTGGTCTCAGCCTTTACTCCGGCCATTCCCTGGGCCTGGCCATCCCTTCCTGCATTTTCTCTCCTGTCCAACACCTGCAGCTCCTTAGGCTCAGGCACCATCCCCTCCAGGAAGCTTCTCCGTGACTGTCCTCAGTACTTCCATTTCCCACTGTGTCTCCCTCTTCTGGAGAGTGGTCAAGGAGGAGATAACATAAAGTGCTTGGCCAAGGAAAGCACCTGTCAGGGGCTGACCTCTTATACAAGAGCTCTGTATGAGTATGACTGTGACAGTCCCTAGAGTACAGAGGTTGTGTCTTTTCCATCCAGGTTTCCTGGAGCGTAACCATGCAGAGTGCTTAACACCAGGAAGCTGGTCATTTGATAGACCACACGGCAAGGAGAGTTCCCATGGGGGTGGTCGGGGGAGCGGTGTGGAGACAGGCAAAGCAGGCAGGACACGGCAGGCCACCTGGGGCTCGGGCCCTGGTCTGCAGTTCAGGAGTACTTTGGTTTGATTTTATTATAGGGCTGTTGCCATCTGTTTGCATGGACTTCTGCAGCTAGCTCGGTGAAGCCCCAGCATCAACACGGGAACTCTTTCACTAGCAGGCAAGATCCTCAGCCTGGAGACGTGTCACCAGCTATCATTGTGAGCCTTTCTGTTTTGTTTTGTCTTCAACTGGGTACATTTTTGTAGACTGATTGTGTTGTCCCAGAGCTGGATCATCTGGCTCAGGGGGAGAATTCTTAATGATTGGGATCATGCAAATCATACCCAACCAATGACCTAGGTGGGGCTGGAGAAAGCGTTCGGGAGAAAGACCAAGCAGCCAAGCTCCCTGTGGCTAGGAGCACAATAAAGGGATCAAGTGACCTTTGCCAACAGGGGCAAGAAGCTGAGTTCCCCAAATGGGGTGCTATTGCCACCAAGAGCTGCCTTTCCAGCCCGTGCTGGCCTGTGCCCAGAGACCAGGCATGGGACCTGGTGCTTCACCTGCCTTTTCTCATTTTAATCCTCAGAGATAGGGGCTGTTACCATTCCCTTGAGAGTTGGGGGAAAAGGCACAGAGAAGTAACCAATGTTGCCCACAGTCACACAGCAAGTTGGGGCCAGAGCAGGCAATCTGGCTACAGAGCCCACGCTCACACACCCATGCATGGGGCACTGCCTCTGGAGCCTTCTGTTTCCACTGTCACCTCTTAATTGCTTCCTTCTCTACAAGTGAAGGTGATGACAGGTTGCCTGGGAATTAAGTGTGTTAATACATCTAAAGCACTTTGTACAGGGCCTGGTATACAGTACTTGCTGATAAGGGGTTTGCTATCACTAGGACTCTACCTTCTGACCCTGCGCTCCCAGATCTGTTTCATGGGGCTAAGATGTGGTTCTAAAATCCAGTAGCTGTGGAAGAACAGACATGAGCTGTGCTCTCTCCAAACCCCATACCCACCATGAGATTGACAGGAATTGTGTGGCCTCTGAGCCTTGCGGGTTCCTTCTGCTCTAAGCCCTCCCCCTCCTGAACAACTCCCAGCCTGATGGGAAAGGGGAAAGGGCCATCCCTGCCCTGCAGGATGGGGATCTCACTTGGCTCCCTGGCACTCTCACTGGACTCCTCTCCCTAGCATTGTTCTCTACCTGGTATTCTTCCAGGCCTCCAAGCGGGGGGTCTCCAGTTCTCCTGTTTCTTCTTATAGCCTCTCCCCTTTAACTCTAAGACCTAAGAACTCAGGACTGATCACTCTTCCAGGGGAGAGAAAAATAATAAAGAAAAAAGTGAGTGTTTGAGGCAAGAGCTGGAACCACTGTGGAAGGACAGACGGTGGCCCCAATGGTGGGGAAAAACATGTTTCTCACTTCCAGCAGGCTAAGCAAATTTCCCAAGTTTTACTGATGGCCAAGCTGAGCCTCAGGAACAGTGATTACCTATGATATGGCATTTACTAGCTTGTGGATAATGGTTACAATGGAAAAACTGGACATTCATTTGAATCTGGATCTTTGGGGTCTTGTGAGGGGCTTGGGGGCTTTTTTGATTTTTGTCTGTTTGTTTCTTTAGAGACAGGGTCTCACTATATTTCCCAGTCTGGTCTCAAACTCCTGGGCTAAAGTGATCCTCCCAACTCAGCCTCCCAAAGCACTGGGATTACAGGCATGAGTCACCATGCCTGGCCTAAGTCTGAGTTTTCTAAAGGAGTTATTTCTAAATGTGAGATGAGACACAAACTCTTGAGTAAGCGGAAAGGTCAAATCCAGCCTTCTATATAGGGACTCATTTTTATGTACAGACCAGCATCTCTCTACTTGGGGGATTTTGCTTTACCAGTGGAGTGAACTATTCAAGTTCAATGGACCATTCATGTCCACATAAGGTAAAAGGCAAATGCCACGTGACTTTGAGGCAGCTGTTTAGCATGGGAGGTTGAGCACTGGAGGCAGACAGATCAGAGGCTCATGTCTGGTTACAGATGCTGACTGATTCAGTTCCTGTGAGCAGTGTTACTCAAGCCCTAGGCCTCAGCTGAAAATGGGAAAAGGAGTAGTCCCCTTCACATAGGCATTGGAAAGGCAAAGGAGAAGCTAACTCGAAACTGCTTAGGGCGGTGCCCAGCACACACTACAGGCTCAGCCTTGTGGGCTTGGACCTGAAACCTCCGGGGCCTGATGAGTTTCCAAAATGAGAACATTTGGGACTTTAGGAAGGTAATGTGGTACAAATGCCAAATGTCACACAACCCTCCACTGGAATCTGAGGCAGCATTTCATTACTTTTGCAGAGAAATGTCAACATTTAAGCAAGTCCAGAGTTAACGTTTGCCCCCACATAAAATTTGGCACCAAATTTACAAAAGTAAAATTGGTCTTTATAGCTTCTTGAACTGGAAGTTACAGATAAGGGATGTGGACCTGAAATTATTAAAGGAGGGATCTTTAACTCCTTTTGGAGTTGCAACACCCATAGTTTCTCAGGTTTTAATGACCCCAAATTGCATCACTGGATTTCCCGCCCTCCCTCCGGGCTGGGTGATATGTCTTGATGTTTAATCAGACTGAGGCATAATGAATTTTGTTTGCATAATCTAATGTCCCTTATCCCCAAAGATTATTGGAGATACCTTGGTGTGTTGCAAAAGTCAGGGTTAGGACTTACTTCAGTTTTACTATTCACGACTGCAGTACAGATCTTACATTTACTCAAAGGCAAAAAGAAATCTGTCAAGGAGATGGGAGTTGAACTGTGGAAGAGTGGGGATAGCAAGAGGCAGCTTCTGGCTAGAGTGTCCTCAGTGCACGTGCATTTGAGCCGCACTCAGATCTGCAGAGCTGGGAGTGCGGTTTCATGGGGAGGAGGGATGTGGACAGAGGCCAGTTGGAATAAGAACAAAAAAGGCCTGGAATCTGATCCTTGAGGCAGGCTGTACAGCACAGGGGAAGAGGGCAGCTGTGGGGAAATAGACCAAGGAGGCACATAATGTTGTTTTGGCAAATATGGAGAGGGTAGAGAAGGGGGACTCACATCTGCCTTAGAGAAGGCTGGATTAAGCCCTACTGGATCTGATATGCTTTCTATCTTAAGGATAAGCTTTAGCGTAGGCAGTCATGAACACCGGACAATTGCGGAGGCAGTGAACTTGCCATCTTCCCTTTCTGAGGGGTTGGGCCTGAGGAGGATCTGGGCAGCTCCATCTGAAGTGGGGCCTTGGGGAAGGCCCCCATTATCCCCACCTGTGGCCTCTCACCCCTGGTAGACTGAGCCCTCTGAAGTGCAGTAATTCCAGTACCCATGGCCTGAAGAGAGATGGCACAGGGCAGGGGACACAGGCCCTGGGGCTGGGCTCAAAGCCAAGTTCAAGAAAGCTCAGACTTCGGATCACTTGGGTACAAATCCCAGTTCTGCCACCTTTTCTATTGGACAAGCGATTTACCCTCTCCAGGCCTCAGTCTGTAAAATGGAGGTACTAGTATACCTATCTCATGGGGCTGCTGTGAGGACTAAATGGGATGAGGTAAAGCGCTTGGCATAGGGCCTGGTACACAATTATGCTCCATCGATATTCGCTGTAATTCTCAGGAAAGTTTCTGAAACCCAGAATACCAGTAACCCAATGGAATGAGTTTAGTTGGCCTTGGCTCAGCATCCAGGCTCCTCTCTGACCCCCAGGGGTGGACGGTGACTTGGAGAGAAAGGGCAGGGGGGAAGTTAAGTAACTCTGGGGCTGCATGCCCATGGATAGCTCCAGAGTAGGGGTGTTAATGAAGACACTGTCAGATGGCTAACGAGCAGCCAAGGCAGCGGACACAGGTCGGTGACTCCAGAAGAAGTAGAGCCGCTGAGCCAGGCTGTGGGTTCCTGAGTTCCCCCGACCAGTGGGTAGGGAAGAATGTTGTCTTCTCTTCCCTCTAAGCATAGCTGAGCTGCCTGGAGTTATGTAGATGCTGAATAACAAATGCAACCCCAGGACGACTTTAGGTGGGCAGAGAGGAGGGGGAAAGGGCAGCTAAGTCCCACCTGCAGCCAGCATGGATCTGATCCCAGCTGCTTGCAGCATGCTTAGGGGTGCCTGCCATTTCAAGACTCAGCAGAGGGTTTACTGCTGAGACACAGCGATAGTGACAGGGCAGAGAGTGTGTACATGAGTGGCAGAGGAAGGAGCGCTGGTCCTGCATAGTCATGGCGCACAGAGCACGCATCCTGAAGGGATGCCTCCTGCTCTCCTCTCCTTTCTGTCCTTCTCCGCCACTCACTCTCACTCCCAAAGCCTCCAAAAAGAATCTTTGCAGAAACCCAAGATTCCTTTTGCTTTGAACTTCCAAGCCTCCACTAGTCCACTCAGTAGGGAATAACCTTTAATTACTACTGTCTCAATTAGCTCTGCAAATTCAATTCTTTATGTTTGAACCGTGACTTCTCATTGAAAACAAAGATGATCAAACCAGGTTAGTGAGGCCAAGAGAATTTCCTATTGTGATCAAAGTTACCTCTGCTCCATTTACAACTAGTGAGCCAGGAGAGGCAGAGATGGCAAGTGAGCCTTTTCCTAGTCTCAGAATCACTCTTTCGCATTTTAAAAAGTACTTATTACCTTACTGAAATGCATGACCTCCACCCCCAAATCAGATACACCACATATTTTCAAGGAAGGGCCTGTCACCTTGGACTTGCAGGTTTTCTCACTCACTTCCCTGTGTTCCTCTCTCGTTTTGAGAGTAAGGCTTGGGGGAGAGCACTACTGCTGGCTGTGTTCTTAGAGAAATTTGGTCTTTTGCTAATTCTGGCGAGAAACATCACAGATTTTATTTCAAAGGTTAGTCCCGCTAAAATGCAAGAACAGAAGCCTCTGGAGGAAGCTCTGTATTGTCCGCCAGTCAAATGATAACTAAGGAAGGGCCTCCACTTGCCAGATAAAGGATTGGGGACCAGACAGTCAGATTTCAAAGAGCGTATGGGTCAGAGCCAAGGCCCGCCCTGTGCGTTTTCTCTGCCAGACATGGAAATGTTTTCCTGAATGAGCATTCTTATTTTGTATTTAAACATGGTACATACAAGCTTAGTTTTAACATTCTTTCTAAATTAAGCTGCAAAGAGCCGTTTGGTTTCGGGGAACTTTTTCTTTGCTGCTTTGGGTGGAACTATGATTAGACACAGT